AAGAGGAGGGGAGAGGAGAGGAAGTAGGGACAGAGAATAGTCTGGCATAAATCACTTGGCAACAGCATCTGCTGCTTGCATTGCATCTCAAAGGTGGCTTCCACAATCGAAGGTGCACTAAAAACGTACTTGAGAAAAAGACAAGGCTCTGCTTCCAATTTACAGCTGACACAATGGAGTGGATGGCTCTGCTCTAACACTTCATTAAAATTCACTGAACATCAAAGCCCAGTTTTCCTTTCCTACTTATGTGGCTTACTAATCTTGTTTTATAGAAGGAACTGTGACTCCTTAGGGTTAAAGAAGTTTTTAGAATCAATAAGGAAACTCAATGTTCAAGATGAGCAAAAGCAGATTGACTTCTGTGAGTTGTAGAATACTAGTTAACAATTCGTTACATTTGTTTATGCTGTGGAATATTTGTTATGATGCAAACATGTGTGGCATTCTTTTATGCTGCATTTGTTTAACTCCATAAAGCTATGTTATGTTACTTTGCCTGTCTAAAACATCTGATTGGTCTAATAAAGAGCAGAACAGCCAATAGCTAGGCGGGAGAAAGGATAGGTGGGGCTGGCAGGCCGGCAAAATAAATAGGAGAAATATGGAAAGAAAAGACTGAAAAGCAAGAAAAGGAGAAAAGGACTTGAGAGGCCAGCCACCCAGCTACACAACAAGCCACAGAGTAAGAAGTGAAGAAACAAATACAGAAATAAAGAAAGACAAAAGCTCAGAGACAAAGGTAGATGGGATAATTTAAGAAAAGCTGGCTACATAGAAGCCAAGCTAAGGCTGGGCATTCATAAGTAAGAATAAGCCTCCACGTGATTTTTTGGGGAGCTGAATGGCAGGCCCCAAAAGAGCCAGCTACATCTGTATTCATCTTCTCTGCTGTAACAAATATATTTATGAGATGTGCTAACTGTTTAATACCTGATTTTGTACTTCCTGAAATGCAAAAAAAAAACCCAAAAAACAATTCAAGTATTTTTTGTATTATTCAATTATATGAAACAATGTGAGTAAAATTTTAGTTGCATATAAAAGGATACATGAACTAAAGGTCCTGTCATTAAAAAAAAATAGAAATAATAGAATGCAGTCACTAACACTGACATCTTACGTCAACCACATTCTGTCACTAATGAAAACTGATTGTGCTTGACCTGAGAAAGAAGTCTACAACATTGTATCACACTATAGAATTATTTGTGAAGGTTGTTTGGTTTTGGTATTTTGTTTGTTTTTTGTTGTTGTTGTTGTTGTTTTTCAAATAAAACACCTCAAGATGTATGTCAAAAACACTATGCTTTCAGCACACTGGAAAGCACACTTCAATTACTTGAAGGTTGGAAATTGTGTTTCCTGGGAAGGGATCTTAGAGAAGGAGACAGAAGAAACCTTGAGTTCCATGGAGATCACAGGCAGTTTCTCTTGGTGCTGCTTAAAGTTCCTGTGGAATAAAAGTTAGGAAAATATCTGTTGCCCTTAAATCATCACATTTAATTTTTTTCTGAAAGATATCTTACAACTGTCCTTATAGTATCTTTTTTTTTTCCTGTTACTGACATATTTGTTAACAAAAATGAAAAGATTAGGGTAGGATTTTAAGGAAGAAAAAAATCTCTATTTAAGGAAGGAAGAAATGAGCTGGAAATCTGATTTAGGAAAATGAATGCAAAAGGAATTTAGTGGCATGTGTGCCTGAAGGAAATAGCTCATGGTGGGACAGCAAGATGGCTCCACAGATAAAGGCATTTGATGCTAAGACCTGAGTTCTGGGATCCCCAGGACCCCAGAAAGTGAAGTGAGAGAACTGACTCCTTCCTACAAGTCTTCTGACCGCCAAACATGCACACACGCATGCGCACACACACACACACTCTCTCAAGAAAACTTTCATAGCACTCACACTCTTGGAAAGGAAGGATGGATATAGGAAAACCCTGGCTTTCTCTTTGCTTCTGTGTCAACTTCCTATCTGTTTCCAGAAAGAAGGGCCATTTGAGTTTGCCTTAAAATATTTTTAATGAAATTACATTTCATCAGCACAAAAGGCTCCTCCAGTGTCACTATGACCTCTCTTGCCATTAAGTACTTTCTCTTCGGACACCTGCTCCCCATCACACAGCACTATCTTCAATCTTTTTATCCACTCCAGACTCTAACCTTGGCCCGAACTCCTTTGTATTCTTATCCATCTTCCCCCTGCCACTGAGAACCCAATTAAGACTCTGAAGCAATGATTTCTGGGGAAAATCAAATGTGCCCAAGTCAGCGAGTAGTAACCCATTAATTGCCAGCCTAAAATTAATACTCTCTCTACACATCTAACCTTACTGTTGAGAACGCTAACACAAAGGTGAGTCGGAATCATTATATTTGGAAATAACCTGAGCTATTAAAATAGATACTCATTGGCCATTGTTTTGGTTATTATCATCAGAAATAAAACAATTTAACAAAAATACTATCATAACTAATGATGCTAATGAATGGCCATGATCTTTCATTAGTGGTAGATAAATCTCATCTCCACAGCAATGCTTACTTGGCTTTTTGACCCTGAAGAAATCTGTCCCCTCACCCACTGGTAAAAGTTTCTGGTACATGAAAAGGATTTTCCATTCCTCACTTGGTATTTGAAAACTTGCTCCAAGGGAAAATGAGGTAGATGAGTCACCAGCATTGCCCTAAGGCGACTGACAATCCAGAAAAATTAAACAAAGTTAGTTTAACCCAAGCTGAGACCTACAGGGTCTTTGAGAAAATTACCACTTTATTTATGGATTAAAGGCAATAATGCATTAGTATTGTTAACTAGAACCCTCCAAAACCAATTCCATATGCACAAAAAAAGGACTAATAAAATCCACCTCAACTTTTCATGGTTCTCCTATTTTATGCAATAATCTGTCCAGTAGATGATCTCTAGATTGCTTGTTAGTGCATCTAGGCTCACATGGCAGCTGTGTCCGCTCTTTCTAAAGCAGGAAAGAAGCCATATTGATGATAACAGACCACTTTGAGGGTAGACCACATATAAGTGTGTGTACAACCAAATCATCAATGGTAAATGTTAGTTGGACCATTATTAGTGTTGAATACTGTGCCTATGTAACAGGAAATTTCAGTTGCCCAGAATACAACCAGATTCAGTTCAGTTCTAAGACCACCCCCTCAAAACAAACAAACAAACAAACAACAGAAACAATGATGACAACAACTTTAACTTAAAAACAGCAAACTGTATGATTTGGAATCTGTTGTCACTATGAATATCGAGCTGAACAATTTGGATAAACTTAGCTGGCCAACCAACCCCAGGAATCCTTCTTCTCATCTCTGCACTCCCCACCTGAGTGGGTAGCTCCTGCCTGGCTTCTCACACAGCTGCTGGTGAGGGACCAAAAATTCAAATTAATAAAAGTTTAAAAACTTAGGCCCTGAAAGGGAACGTCTAATGATAAAGGAAAGTTTAACTCCTTAAATCAGGAGTGCCATGACTGGTGCCTGATCCCCTGAACTCAGAGAAGGAGAGGTAACTGTTCACCACTCCTGTTAACATTCCCTTGCTAATTGCTGGTCATAAAGATCCCCAGCCTGGGGGATAACTGACAGACCCTGTGACTCTGTAACCCTGCAAGCCCATGCCCTGTCTTATCTCAGTCAAATGTATCTCCCTTAAATTCTATAGTTACTAACTCTGTATGACCTTAAGTAACCATGGAAATTCTGTAATTTGTCGCCTTCAACCTTATGATCTGCCCCTTTAAAAGCTTCTCTTTTTGGCTGAGTAGAATCTCATTTGCCCGCCATGCAGTGAGATCCTAGCTGGCCAGCTTGAAATAAAAAGAAACCTTTTGCTTTTGCATCAGAGTGTCGACTCCTTGGGTTAGTCTCTGGGCCCTGAGAACCTGGCACAACACTGGAGCCAGAACCCAGCCCCTCACAAGTGCAGGGTATACATTTTGCTGATTGTGCCCTCTCCCTAGCTCCTGAGCCATCTCCCTAGCTCCTGGAACTTAGCTTTTTTAAAATGAATCAAAATACATAAAAGTTAAAGATAAAAAATTTTGACTCATTGAAATAAAAATATTTATCTCTTTTGTATATAAAGACTTTTTATAACCTTGGAGGGGAAAGGTATAAAAACAGATATAAAAGAAAGTACTTTGAAATCAGGTTGTGAAAGATAAAACTGCATTCAATGAAACCTAAAATGCTCTAAAGGCCCTAAGTGATAATCTGTTAATCACTTAGGTGTATTTTATCACTTGGGTGGATTTTACTTGCTCTAAATATAAAATTATAATCAACTCTAAAATCTAGACTATGAGAAACTGCATAAGATAAACAATCTCATTTCTTCAACAAGTAAACTGAGGACAAAAAGATCAAATAAATTTTGAGACAATTTAAACCACAAACAGACAAAACCAAACTAAAGAGTCATGGCTTTAGTGATAAAACTATAAATCACAGCGCTGACGGTCGGCCTCACAGTGAGGATGGTCTTTACAAGGCTCTCTGCAGGAGGGAGCAGGCGGGGCTTGGGTGTGCAAAGCCACTGACTAAGCAGCTTGAACTGGATGGAAGTCATCGGTCCATGCATGGTTTTATGTATACCTCTTAGTATTACATTTTAAAGTATTTTTAAATTAAAATTATAATTTTAAAGATTTACCAAAGCAGCAATCACATCTTGATTTGGGGTGTGAATATGAATGTGAGAAGAGGAATACTAGTATTCCTCTTCTCACATTCATATTCACACCCCAAATCAAAAGCACTACACTTGACTTTCAAAAACAGAAGCTCTGACAAGTGAGCAGAGACCTTTAAGAGACTGACTTCTGGGCATTCTGTAAACCAGGTACAGTTTCCATTTAAGGAGTCCAGCTCCGTTGGCAGAATGCATGTCCAGCAAGCGCTAAGTCCTGGGTTGCAAACTCAGCATTTAAAAAGATTCCCCACAAAGAAAGGAAATGTTCACTTACTTTGCTTTCCACAGCCTTGCCTCCATGTTCAATGTGTCTCTCTACATAACCAGAGGACAGCAACTCACTACAACAACAGAAAAGAAATGGCAATTAAAGAGGATGCTGCAGCTGAAGACAACTCAGGAACAGAACAGGGGTTGCCAAGCATACTCCAGGCCCTGGGTTTGATCCCCAGGGCTTGGGGGGGGGGGAGATGGCTTTGAATATGCATCACATTTGAAAACGTGCGTCAAGTTCACACATACCTACTTTAACAATTCTTTGATTCAGATTTTTTAAACAAAATCAACACTTTATAGAGAGAAAGGAAGGAAGAAGGGAGGGAGGGACGGAGGGAGAAAAGGAGAGAGGGAGGAAGGATGGGTGGGAGGGAGGGAAGATGCTAGACAGCTAGTGTTCTACAAGGAGATAGACAAAACTGAGCTACCTCTACCACCTGTTATCTCATGGCAGAGCAGAGCCGATTCCCCCATCCAGCACTGGGGCGAGGAAACTATAGCAACACCATTATTTTTTTTTAAAGATACTTTAGTCTTGTTTGTTTGTTATTTTAACTCCAGCTTTCTATCAGAAAGTTAATTTGCTACCCATATCTTACCATATGTATCGTGTATGTTATTTTTTCTTACAAATTATAGTTTCTATCACACAGAGGAATGGAAAGGGGCTGTGAAGATGCCCCAGCAGGTAAAGACACTTGCTGCCAAGCCTGGCAACCTAACTTCAGTCCCTGGGACTCACACAGTGGACAGAGACAATCTCCCCCAAGTTGTCCTCTGACCGCCACATGCGCACAAACACCCAAGCACCACATCTACACACACACACACACACACACACACACACACACACACACACACACGTGCACACCTGCATACTCATAAAAGCAAAGAAATGGAAAATAAAACATTATCAACATTTTGAAGTTATTCTTTCTTAAAGGCTTCTAAATAACCTTCTTCTTCTATGATTGGATGTTCATCCAACTAGATATTCATTTATTTACTTTAGATAACATGTAGTGGTGTTTTACCAACATGCATGTCTCTGTATCACTCGCATGCAGTACACGGAGCTAGGAGAGAATGTAAGATACCATGGAACTGGAGTTAGAGATGGTTGCGACCCACGATGTGGGTGCTGGGAATTCAATCCAGGTCCTTTACAAGAGCAGCCAGTGGTCTCAACTGCTGCATCATCTTGCACAAGGAAACCTACCACTAAAGAAGCTTCCTAAAATGTCTGTATAAAATGAATTTAGAAGGGATTACATATAATGGGGGAGAGAATGACCCAAACAGACATCACATGCCACCACATAAAATCCCCAATACCAGGAGTGAGCTACAACTTTTTCAGTAGTTGTCAAAGAAGTCCATAAGCACCACTAAAAAATATCACAAACTATTGGCAATGCTATTGTTTGCCTCCACAACCTATTGCTGAAGACAGCACATATACATGCCATTGAGCATGAATAAATGGAGCTTGGACTTTACTAGAAGTTTCATCCCTTCTGACTAGCATTCAGTGCTGGAAGGTATTTGCACATGCTACAGAAGGAGAAAACAGTCATCAATCTCACCGGCAACAAACTCGGTTTTCTTGTTTGTTTGTTTGTTTGTTTGTTTTCCTCTCCCAGCAGCTATCAACTACTTACAGCTTCTTGGTTAGAAGGAGGACTCTATATCCCACTCTCAGTACTGGGATCTGGTTTGGCTAGAACTTGTATAGGTCTTGTGCATGCTATGGCAGTCTCTGTGAGTTCATATGTGCATCAGTCCTGTTGTGTCTGGAGAACACTGCTAGGTCATCCATTATTTCTGGCTCTTACAACCTTTTCACTTCTCTCTGACCCCTGAGCTTTGAGAGGAAGGGAGTGATAAAGACATCCCATTTAGGGCTGGATGCTCCAAAGCCTCTCACTGTGCATATTGTCCAGTTATGAGTATCGTGTTAATTATCATCTACTGCAAGAAGCTTCTCTGATGAGGGTTAAGCAATGCACTGGACTATGGGTTTAGCAATGTATCATTAGGAGTCATCACTATGCACCTTTAGCAGAATAATAGTAATAGGTTTACTAGACAAGTCCATGGCATATCTAGACTTAGGTTCTTGGCCTCATTAACAGTGTCAGGTATGGATTCCATCTCACTGAACTGGCCTTAAATCCAATTTTTTACAATGGTTGGTTATCTTCCTAATGTTTGTGCTACTATTGCACTGGTGGGTATATCTTTTAGGCATACCTAAAACTGCCTATCTCTTTATCCTGGAGTTGGGGTTACAGGCAACCTTGTACCTGGAGTACCTGTACAGTCAACACTCTTCCCACTGAGCCATCTTCCCAGGCCCAAAAAGTCTTTAAATTTTTTAAAGAACTAAAATATAAATAAAATTGTCATGAATAACTAAAAGGAATACATGAGGCTATAAATTTTTAATGCTACTCTATTTATACACATTGAGGCATTTTAAAAAAAAAAAATCTTCTAAAAGTGTTTTATGAGTCATCAAGCCCAAGTTGTCCCAATTGTAAACTTCTGAGCTCATGGCCCATCATGATGAGCATCGAGCCTACAGTTGTTTTAAATGTAAACTAAATGTGTAAGCAAGTGCTACATAGCTACAGTGCTGCAGAATCCATTTCACTTCCACTCAGGAAACTAAAATCCATGTGACATTTGCCTTTGAAAATACATACTCATATTTCCCTCCCCGTCTCAGGTTTATGTGTGTGTGACAGAGAGAGGGAGGGAAATGGAGGAAGGAGGGAGAGAGAGAGAGAGAGAGAGAGAGAGAGAGAGAGAGAGCATAAAGCTTATCATTTTGTCTGATGTTGCTGGCTGGTGAGCTCTGGGGATCCACTTTTCTCTGGCCCCTAAAGGAATACAAAGCCATGCCTGGCTTTTTATGTGGGTGTTGCTTGGGGTTCAAACACAGGTCCTCAAGCTGGCAGAGCAAGTGCTCTTATCCACAGAGCCATCTGCCCATTCCCTGAAATACATTTTCCTATTTACAGTATTCGAGGGCCAGCTAGGATGTGCTAGATTATATGTTACAGATTAAAAAATAAATAAAAGAAAACAACTAAAAAGTGAGTTAAACTATCAAGACGTTTATCATCTTCTTATTGGAAATTCCAGGGCAATTATAATTCAATTTTCAATGAACATTCAGTTTTGTTAGATGAAGAAACTTGAGCCTTAAAATATATATGCATAGGCAAACTATTGAGACATTTTAAGTATGGATGAGTAGGCAATCGGCAAATTGTATTATACGTAGGCAGAAATTCACAGGATGGCATCTGTCTATCGACTTGCCCGGTAACTGAAAGAATTACTGTTGCATAGACAACTAGGAATAGTAGACTTTTTCTTTTTAGGTCAGTTCTGGACCTTGTAGGGGACCTGTGGTAGGGAAGGCAAATGCATCAGTGAGAGAAATACCATACGCAACACTGCATGGCTCAGAATGAGCTGCTGTGGTTCCTCTGCCCAGCTTACTCCCTGTTCTAAGTATGCTAAGCTATGTCTCTGAACTCTCACTCTGTGCCTAACATGATTTATCTTCAGTTTAAAGGTTAATTTGTTCATCTGTTCTACCTTTGAGACAGCTTACTCTATAGCATACTACAGGCTGCCACTGGCCACATCAGGGTACTTACAGAGCCGGTTCACGCAGAAACGCAGCACCACTGAGATGAAGGGTACTTTGTTTGCTAAAATTTATTGTTGTCGCTTTATGGGTATGGGAATTTGCCTATGTGCCTAAGTGTATGTCTGTGTACCACATGTGTGCCTGGTGCCTGCAGAGGTCAGAAAGAGGCATCAGAGCCCCTGCAGCTAGAGTTACAAACTGTTGTGAGCCACCATGTGGGTGTTTAGAATTGAACCCAGGAAAAGCAGCCAGTACTCTTAACCAATGAGCCATCTCTCCAGCCCCCAAGAGAGTTTTTTAAATTTCTGCTCTGCCATCAATCAGTGTAATGTTGGGCTGTTCTCTTAATTGGATTCTCTAATGGCCCTAATGTAGCTGCTGCCATTTCTAAGACCCTCATGAAGACAATACATCTCAAGATTTAGCAGAAGGAAGGAGGGGAGGAGTCAGGAGGGAGGAAGGACTAGCCTGACGGGCTACACTTCTTTAAAAGAGAAGCAAATGTTTTTACAAAACTCTTAGCTTTAATCTTCTCAAATGTCTTTTTCCAGAATTACATTATGGGCCACACCTAAACCAATCCTTTGACACAGACATTAATCACTAAATCATCTAGATTCTTCTTCAATGGAACATGAGGAGCACTCAGAGTTGAACACGATTAAGGGACAAAGGGCAGGGGAGAGAGAATAACTGTTGCATGGAAAACCAACAGCTTTTTTTTTTTAGGTATGTTGAATATTTCACACATTTCCAAGTGCTTCTGACAAAACAGTAATCCGTGTACTGCAGACCAACCTCAAACAAAACAGAGAGTTGCAACAGCATCCACACCACACTAGGTTAACTCAGCTTGTGTCCCAAACAGGATAGGTTCTGGCCAGAATTCTGCATAGAGCTCTCCCTTGGCTTTGGCATTATATGGTACATCTTCCCTTTAGTGTGTGGGGGGGGAACACTAACACACAGATGCAATGTTTATTAGCAGAGCCAGCCAGGTTCCAGCTGTTGGGATCTGAACTAGTAAATTCTGGGAAGAGGGAGGAAGTCCTGCAACCTAACAATGAAGGAAATTGAAGTTGGGCTTTAGGAGAACATCATGGCAGTCTTCCCAATAGTCTTCAGAAGAACATAGTGGTAGCAGTAGTAGCAATGATCTTAATTCCTTAAAAACAACTTTGAAGTCTTCTAGGTTTTTGAATTTCAAGGGAATAATAAATTTTAGCAAACAAAGTACCCTTCATCTCAGTGGTGCTGTGTTTCTGCGTGGACCGGCTCTGTAAAGTACCCTGATGTGGCCAGTGGCAGCACATAGGCAAATTCCCATACCCATAAAGCAACAACAATAAATTCAAGGGAATATTCAAGGAAATTCAAGGGAATATTTTCAAGTGAACT